AATTTTTTTTGTGAAATAACCCAATCAACTTGTAGTTTTTATTCAAATAAAAATCGACATGTTTTACGTTTACTATATTTTTCTATAATCTAATATTAGCTCTGCATATTTATTGTTATTTCAAGTGAAAATGTTGGATGTGTTGATGTTTAAAACAAATTCCATTTAAATTTTGTTGAAAAAAAGTTTAATTTTATGTATCGAGATGTGAAACAAGTGATTATTTAAATCCCCACTGGAAGGTCTCTGACAGACTAAGTGAGCGTAAAATCATTGTTATCGAAAGCCGATGACATACAAGTCAAAGATAAATGATTCAGTATTATTAAAAACCTAACTATTACAGTTGTCCACACTGTTATGGGATTACCTCTATAAGAAAAAGTAAGGTTACACTATAACTCCGGAATGTTTTGATATACTAGAGCTATTTTCAAACAGTTTACCACCATTTGAAAATCTTACCAAATTATATATGTGTAAAAATGGTTCAAAACTATAATCTTAAAAAATTATCATTGCTCTTGGTTGGGTATTTTTAAAATATTTGGGGAAAAAATGAATAAAAGTGACATTAATTATATAAACATTTATTTTATTTGAAGTATAGAGGTAATTTTTTTTTGTTTTTTTTTGTTTCAAATATAGTTGAATTTGGGTTGCTGTCTTATTGGCCTTTTTGAACCCTACATTGTATAGCAGGTGGAAAGTTCCGTAAATTTAAACAAAATTCAATTGTCGAACAACCAACTTCTGTGATTACGCACATTATGTACATGTACAGTGTTTTTAAATGTGTAGAAAGACATGATCATTTGATTTTTATAACAGCTGTCATTACTTAAATCGATTAATCAGCATGCGTCCATGTATCATTTACTTGTCATAACAATTGTGTATTTCAACGCTCTAACATTTTGAGTGTCTCTGAGAACAGGTAATGCAATTATATAATTCTTTTGAACATTTTTTTGTTTTTAAATTAGAAAATGTTAAGTGGACATATCCTTCGAACGCACCGATCATTTTTATTCTGGCTGTGCAAAGGGTGGGACGCCTTTTTAAAAGAATTATTTGCTTGTGAAACAATTTCTTTTTTATTAAAGTTTATAGTTGTGTGACCCGAAAATACCCTTCTCCAAAATAGAACAAAACAATTCCACACCGAATTATGTTCAGCTACACTTCTTTATTTATACTGTTTGATGCCAAAATGTCAGGTAAATTCATGTGATTTTAAGATAAATCGCCCCGTGTACAGGTACATCTGACCAATTGCTGGGTAATATTTTGTTACTCATAGTCACGTTATTTGCTTTATAATTAATAGAATTTCTACAACTGATCTAACTTTATTTAAGGCTAGAAATGTTTCCAACGAACTAAGTATTCCAAATATTCTAATCAAGATTTTATATTTTAGGTCTTAGTCTGATAGTTTGTTGGACGAAATTTCGTCCAACTTTCTACCATCAACATGTTTTTCATTTTAGATCTTCATGTGAATTTCATAGATGATTTTTTTTCCATTTTACTAACTGCCACAAGTATCTCATTTTATTTCTATGTCTGATAGCAGAAATTTATTCCAATTGACTAACTGCTTAAAATAATTTATTGAAGGTTTGATAGAGGAAATTTCTCCCGACTTACTATCAAATGCAACAAATATTACATTTTAGGTCAGGTTTGATAATGAAATTTCTTCCAACCAACCAACAGCTACATGTGAACATTTTAGATGTAAATGAAGGTTTGATAGAAGAAATTTCTTCCAACGAACTAACGGCTAAGATTAAATATTTCATTTAAGGTTTAAATCTGATAGAAGATTTTTTTTCCAACGGGCGATAGCTCGAGGTAATTCATATTACGTTTGAAAGAAGAAAATTTCTTCCAACGGGCATTTCTTCCAATAAACTTACTGTTCCAATTTTTTTTATTTTGTATCGAATAATTGAAATTTCTTCCATTAAACTGACCTCTCTATGTACGTCTTCTAAGGTCTGAGAGAAGAGATTTCTGTCGTGGAATATTCTCATAGTTTTACGCAAGTTTCTAATTCTGTTGTTTCTTACAGAGAAGAAATTTCTTCAACCGTTGAAGTGATCAAAAACCGTTTGAACAAAATGGGAAAACAGTTGATGCATTTGCTATTTATTGATAAATTAATGAATTTGCATATTTCAGTCCGCAAAGAGGACATTCCTGGATGTTCCTCCTTTATTTTGGACTGCCTTGAAAATAGTAAACGTGTATTTATCATTACATTGGGGGAAATCTAGAAACAATATGCGTTGGTTGCTTTTAATGAGGGAGTACAAATTTTATCATTTATTACGGTTAAGTCTCATTCTTCAAATGAAAAATAAATATCCAGATGTAACATAAGACGAGGCCACTGACATTGATTTGGGATATGCATATGAAAATGTAGCGGGGATAAACTAGTTCTGTGTTTTACTTTTAAGTTTCAATCCTCTTCCTCATTTAATTGGAACGGAAGTATTTATACTCTTTATGTACCCTTCTTAGGTCAATTACATTTAGAAGTAGAGATGGATATGTGTAATGAACGGCGTCTTTTTCTGCTATCTTTATAAACCTACGTCTAAAAGTGCTTTGCAGCCTTTTATACAGTAAATACAAAATTTAAGAAAATTATCAAAAAATCATTTTCACCTGTATGTTAAATTATTTCATATTTTTCTACACCTGTTTCTGAAAATATGTTCAGTAATAATGCAAGTACTTCAGTTAAATGTGTGTGTAGATTCTGGGTCAATGTTGCAAAGTGGTTAAAATTCTAAAAATGCTATTTTCCCTACATATGGCCCAGGAAATACTACTGTTTCACTTTAAATCCTGATCATTAGACTAACAAAGCGAACACACACAACAAAAATAAATCAGGGCAGAGTCAATTTTTCTCTGTGTTTCAAAGGAAAAAATTTATCCTTGGAACGTAAGAATATTCTATATATGCTCTTCACCTGTTTCGGTTCTTATATATCCTTGGCCTTCAAATAATTGGGTTTGAATATAAAACTAGAAAAGCACTTCAGACGTATAAAATTTATACGTTTTTTTTTATAAACATAAGGTGTAACGATTGAAAGGACAGCTGTAAGATAGATGGATTTTTTGTATTCATTGTGTAACGATATCCTAATTCTTATTCTATTTAGTATAATATATGATTATTCGTAGTATTCGTAATTTCCTACATCGCAGCATTTTTTTTTTGCCCCATCAGTACGGTTCTTCTTTAAATTTCCGTAATTTTTACTGTATACAATACACGTGATTTATAAAACAAAATGCAATATTGACTTTCCTGTGTAAATCGTAATAAAATGATTTAGCGAAAGAAAGGTTCAAAATGTACAAAGAAATATTTATTGCCCTATTGTTAACTGACTTTTTTTTTAACATTTTTTGTTTTCGTTATAAGATACGTCCTTATTAACCTTAATCATTATCATTTTCCTTTCAGATGAATCGGTACAATGGTCTGGTTTGCTTATTTCTATTGTCAACTGGTAAGTTTGGTTGCCTACCTGTCACGATATATTTGAATATATGAAATACAGATAAAGTTAATTTTACATTTAGCAAAAGAAAGTTGAAGGAAGGACAATGATTATTTGTTTAGGTTGAAATGTTCTAATGACTGTAAAAGATGCATCTTTGATGTTTCACCATTCATATCTAGATGATATAGCCACTGATCCTTTTACACTGCTGTACACATTAACAGATCGTTATATACATTGTAACCAGTTGTGAGTAAATATAACAAATAATTTCAAAAATACGTCTTACATCAATTTCTTCGAAACTGTCAAAGACAATATACTAAAATTTTATGCCGGGGCATATATATATGGTTTGGGATTGCCTATAATTGCTTACATTCACTTCATTTGAACATTGGTGGAAAGTTGTCTCATTGGCAATCTTATCATATTTCCTTATTTTTAGAAAGAGTTTCAAGATTGTCAGACTGCATATCTCTGATATGCACACATTATTTCCCTAAAGGTCATCCAACAAACATTGTTTCGCATGGTTCTCTAATTGTTTGAATTCTGTCCTATTTTACAACGAGATTGTTTGGCAAATTGTGACTATATTTGATAGATTTTTATGCCCAAATCATCTGCAAAATTGTTGATATGATTATCGGGCAATATATTGCTTAGGTCACATAATAGTATTTCGTGGAATCGGTTAGTTTCACATTGAGACTTTAAGTCCACGACTCGATTAAAATTTTACATAGTTTATTCACATCAACATAATGCAACGATAAAAACATAACTGGAAACAAAAAATAAAAAAAAATAAAGACACAACTCTAAAGCATGATTGACATACACGATGTTCAACACTGGGCATACAGGTAAAAGAGAAGCCAAACATTCAGTGGTGTTTGTCTTATTTGAAATTGCATAATCTGATGTATTTGTATGTATTTGAAATATGAATTTCAGTCTATGGAAATTTTAAAAGAGTGTGTTACTTTACAAACTGGGCCCAGTATCGGGACGGAATAGGAAAGTATATGGCTAATGATGTCGATCCGTATCTTTGTACTCACGTGATCTATGCTTTTGCCAAGGTGGTCGGAAACAATATCGAACCCTATGAATGGAATGATATAAATGAGTGGGGTAAGTAATTTAGAACATTTGACGAATATTGCTTTAAGTAACTGTTAGATATATGTTTTGGCTCCTATATATGCACTATCGATTTTTTTTTTATCGTTTTTCAACTACAATTTTAAGTGGCAATTGATTTAGATAAAAAAAATCTGTTTTTATCAATAACAAATGAACAAGAAATATAACTTTTAGCAATGAAAATCAATATTTTTTTTCAATATTTCATATGATCATTTTATATTTCTTTCAATTATTGTTACTGACCTGTCTTATGTTTGAATTTTGGTTTTTTGTTTGTTTCAATAGCTAAAGGTCAGTATGAAATGATTCGTGATGTACGGAGTAAAAATCCTGTCTTAAAGATACTGCTAGCCATCGGGGGATGGAATCATGGTAGTGACAATTTTACACTTATGGTAGCCACTCAATCAAATATAGACGCATTTGCTTCAAATTCAATGACATTCCTCAGAGCTAATGGTTTCGATGGTCTAGATCTTGACTGGGAATATCCTGCCAACGGAGGAAGTCCTCCCGAAGATAAACAGAGGTTTACTCGGTTTGTGGAGGTAAAGAAGTTATCTATTTAAATAATTTGTGAAGAATACACAACAAAAACGTGTATTTACGAACCTTAATATTATATGACAAGTCATGATAAAATAGCAATAAAAATCATAATTTTATTAATATTTATGAACTATTTTTTGCAGAAATTTGTATTTAGGGATTTCTTGCTTTTTATGGAACCTGGGGTTTTGGACATATGAATACTTAGTAAAAAAAACTTTAATGTGAAAAACTTCGAAAATGTACCTCTGTGTCGATACATATTACGCAAAATGTTCATTTCAATATTATTTCCATCATCAACTCATGTAGTTTATGGAATCGTAAACGAACTGTATGTTAAGGAAACAAATTATTAATCTATATTTTAATATTTCAGACATTACGTACAACGTATGACAATGAATTGTTGACCGCCGGTCGATCACGTCTTCTGTTGACAGCCGCTGTGGCTGCCGGTAAATCTACTATTGAAAGTGCTTATGAAATCAACAAAATAGCACAGTAAGATTTTCAACTCCTTATAACAACTTCCTTAAAACCTTGTAAAAATGCTTTCTTTTTTTTGAAAGGTGTTTTAAAAAGACTAAATATGATTGTCGAAATTTTTATAATTTTCTTGTTCTTGGTATAAGCTTAAGCGACATTATGTCCAACTACTAAAAAAGCGGTAAATGTAGTATGTTTAGTACCTACATCTACATACATTGTATCTCAGCGTATCAGTCATTTTAATTTCCCCCTTAAAAAAATCATTAATTGAACTAGGTTTTCGTCTTTATTTATTTTCTGATGTATTTTTTTCACTGTATACCAAATATCATTAATTTAATCTGACAACACCGTTTATGTGCCAGTCTAAAGTCATGCCTCTTATGTTTTAAGTAATGATTTGGATTCATAAAAATATGAACTGTCAATCAAAATTACAAATGTTTAAATGGTTTTTTATTCCATGTTTTGCAGACATTTAGATTTCATCAATCTCATGTCATACGATTTGTTCAGTGATTACAACAGTGTAACACAACATAACAGTCCTTTGTACAAATCTTTGGTTCCTAATGAGGCCTTTAATGTAGTAAGTATATAGGTCAGTCATACAAATCTTTGGCTCCTAATGAGGCCTTTAATGAAGTACGTATATAGGTCCGTAATACAAATCTTTGGCTGCTATCGATGACTTTAATGAAGCTAGTATACAGGAGTATACAGGTCCATTATACAAAAATGTATAACAAAAATACTTAACTCCAAGTACATTTAAAAGGGGGGGGGGGGTCCATAGAAACTGACAAAATCAAACGTTATCAATCAACGGAAAAAGTCAAAAACACTATAAAATTTCTGACTTAGTACAGTCATTTCCCAAAGAAACTGGTGGATTAAACCTTGCTCTATAGCTAGCCAAACCTCTCATTTGTATGACAGTTGTTTATAGTTTCGTTATATTGACAATGTTGGGTGAGCAACCCAAGCAGATATATTAGGCCAGCAGCCAAAACTGTGCCAAACACACATCACGGACACACAACACAACTAACAAAAAACCCCAACAAAGACACCAGCAAAAAAAGGCGTTGAAGCTCATGGTAAAGACACCTACAAAAAAGGTATAGCCGCTAGCAAACTGACAAAGACGCCGATAAAAATGATTTTGCAGCCGATAGTTCATATCGTATACAGCAAACATCCTTTCGAGAAAGTACAAACTAAGTAAACTATAAGTACAATGTACAAAGGTAAACAAAATGGAAACAACACTGCAAAACCCACCACACCAGAAAGAAAGCTATGGATCCTAACAACGCCTTTAATGTCGTTAGTATATAGATTCGTTATACAAATCAACGACTCCTAACGACGCCTTTAATGTAGTGAAACGTTCTATTATACGATGCTAAGACTCCTAACGACGCTTATAATGTAATAAGTATATCATAACGTTAATAAAAGTGTGGATCCTTACCAGTTCTGTGATGACATATGTATATTATTGTGTATTACAAAACTGTCACTCCGAACAGCGACTGTAATGTCTTAAGTATAAAGGTCTGTTATACAATAACTTGCGAACAGCAAACCTCTTTCCAGGAAACCATGAAAGGATATACAAGCTCTGGGACATCGTGTCAAGTGAAAGATATATACTCCATATCGTTTTTGTCGTAAATTTTGTTCTCAATCTACCATGAATGTCAATCATTAGACGTAAGTCAGGATATAAGGTTTGGTTATACATGACAGTAGATTGGACATCGATTTAAGACTATGACGTCATTTGAACCCTTATATTTGAGATGTGAACTTCGATTAAAGAACGGATTTCAATCTGCCTCCAGCATATTCCTTCACAGAAAAGGACAATATTTTTGTTGGATTAGGATGTCTACAATAATTAAAACTTTTAACTGTCAACCGACCTCTGTTCTCTAAACCAGGCGTAAACCATTAAGAGAATTAACATATAAGATAAATAAAAAAGCAGTTAGCACAGGGGGAAATATTATGTTAGTCTATTCTATTTTTCTTTTAGCATTTTGCTATAAATGTATGGTTGAATGGAGGGACACCGAAACACAAACTGATACTAGGGGTTGCAACATATGGAAGGTCTTTTATATTACGAGACACAACCCAGACAGGATTTGATGCTCCTACCAATGGTGCAGGAACACCGGGATCATTTACAAAAGAAAAAGGACTTCTATCATATTATGAGGTAACATATGTCTGGTACCAAACAATACCTTAATATAATAATAATATATTGTTGTATGTTACATTATATTGTTATGACCTATCAATAAATCTATAACTATTCAAAAGTAAGAATAAAGTAATATAATAGAATCATTTCAGCCCTTTAGATATGAGCCCAATGTATAGATTACCTTAGCTGTACCTTGAAAAACCTTTCGGAATTCTTGTTCTTCAGTGCTGTTTTACTTTGGACTTAATTTTTCCTTCTAATAGTAACTTTTTTTTATTTGAGCGTCACTGAAGGGTCTTTTCTAGACTAAATGCGTGTCTGGCGTACAAAATTACAAACCTGGTATCTTATGTTCCTTTATAAATGGAAAAAATGGCAAATTTGATGTTCTCTACACTAACTTTATTTTGCCACAACCAAATTTTCTAAACCATAACCACCAAACAGACCAAGTATGAATAACAGTAGCGTCACTTTTGCCGTTTTCGAGTTATGTCCCTTTACAAATAAAAAATTGACAAATTTGCAGTTTCCGCAGTCTAACTTTACTTTGCCATAACCAAATGTTCTGAAACTTATACAAAATGCTTATTACTACCAAACTCAGATCAAGTTCGAATAGGGTAGCGTCATTTTTACCGTTCTCTTGTAATATCCCTTTATAAATAATTTGCCATATTTTTACAATAGGGGCATCTGTGTCCCATGGAAACATTCTTCTTTTATTTTAGCACCAATTTGCATCTATAGAATTTCTTTTGTTAACACTTTGGGTAAACCTGTTCTTTAAATGAAATAGTTATATGAATATTGTTATCCATAAAGGTTCTAGCCACAAATTTAATATTTTCACAGAATTTCGATCATCACTACCGTGATGTATTTTAAAGGAACACATTATTTAAAAGGTTTTATCTTCGTGATTATTTTTTCTTTGTTTCCACAGATCTGCTCCAATATCAACAATCAGGGATGGACAGAAGGTTGGCTAGATGAACAACAAGTACCATATGCCTACAAAGGCGATCAATGGGTTGGTTACGATAATCCAAGAAGCGTTGCAATAAAGGTAAGATATAACCAGGATTTAAAACATGAAAAATATTCCTTATTATTCAAAAACAAATTTTGATTGATTAATAAATTGCTGAATGCTTAACTTCAAATGCGATGTGCATGTTTAAGAAGATAACTTGATATTACAATACGCAGATATCTGCTTTGTTCTAGTCTGACACGTCGAGTTGAAGTTTTAACGTTCTAGTCAACGAATTCAGTTATTTACAACATATGTTTACAGTTTGGTCTTATGCTGCGCTGTTGCAGCACTATTCCATATTGCCACCTCGCCACATTCTAGTTGTGCCTGTCCCAAGTCAAGCTTGTTATTAATGATTGTATTTTTACTTTTTGTTTATGGGTTTGTCATGAATCAGGTTGTTTCGTTTAAATTGTTTCCCAATTGTCAGATTGTGGTTTTTTAAAGCTGATGGTATGGGTTTTGCACATTGTTGAAGCCTTACAGTATATTTGCTTAAATCTACGGCATTTGGGCTCTGGTGGATAATTGTCTCAATTGCAACCATACCACGTCTCCTTATTTTATATAGTTCACAAAATAAAAATAAGAAGGAAGACACATTACCTTAAATGCACCAGAACACATTATTATAATTCCTAGCTGACCATTATGTGTCCTTATTCCTATATGTCGCGTGCTTGACGAAAAAGGAACAATTACAATTGATAAAGCCTTTGGTTTGACAAGACCTTGGATTGAATCATTGACTTCTTAAACCTGTGGGCTCCCTGTAGGCTCTAGACAAAGAGCCTATCAAAAGACCACCGAATAGTTTATACTGTTTTATTGAGGAATTTCCAAAAAGTATATGTGGTTAATGCACTTGGGAAAATAATCCGAAGCAATTCTAAAAAGTCACTTATTTAAAGCAAAGCAAAGGCACTTTTTTCCATCTAGATTAGTACTATAAGGTAACAATTGAGGAACTCATGACGTCCAAAAAGAAATTCAAAAAATCGTCTGCGTCAGTTGGATTATTCAAGGAAACCGCCAACTTTGACTGTTATAAGTTCTTCCATTGAGATAAGGAGTTTTCAACTTGTTTGACTTTGATTGATAGCTTATTATTAATAGATCGTCTTTCTTTGCCCATTAGAATGTAAAACTGTCATAAATTGATTTAAAAATATATTACTCTTTGTTTTAAACAAACGGTCAATACGCCAGAAGTAAAGTAGGCCGTTCTATTTCATTTCATTTAATTGATGTTTTGATGTTCTAGAAACAACCACAAGGATTATTCAGTATTTTAAAGTGTTCATTCCTAAAATGGCTGTCAGAATCCTAATGAAAGGTCTTATTCTAGGAGATTATAAAAGCATAAGCAATACAATCAAACTTCATGCAGTATGAGATATATTTAGAAACAGTTTAAAAAGCTTACTAAAAGGTTCTTTTAGGTTACTGTCTGTAGTTTATAGTCGTATACTAATATTTGTTAATACATAATATATCCCTATGGTACAAGTTATATAAGTTCTTTCATGACACTAATGTTGGTCGTTTAGATCATTTTGTTTTAATATATTTATCAATAACTTTAAAGTGAAGAAATCAGATATGATGTTCGGACTGTTTTCAACAATTAGCCATCCCCCTTCTCAATATATTTGTTCGGCGCAATTTAGCCTTTTTGTACTGAGGCGGCGTAAAGCAACACCAATCAATCAATCAATGACTTTGATATGGTATATATCTATATATATAAAGTCCAGTTTGTCCATTAAGACAATAATGACGTTAACCCTTGCAGATCCTCTTACGACCTTCAACAGCAAAACTCTTATCGTCTAATAATTTATAAAAGGTCCCAGTATGACAAAATGCGAAACATTCAAAAGAGAAAAACAACGGTATAATTTATACCAACGAACGAAAAACAAATATGGCGGACAGCAACAAACCACAACCACTGGATAACATGATACTGGATTTTGACAGGCACATAAATACTACAGCGAGTTTGGACATATTTGACTCACTTCCATCTTCTTTATCTCGTATCATTAGAACAAACTGTTAAAATCAATTGAAAATGGTTGGATGATCGGTACTAACTTAATAAGCATAAATAATATATCAAAAAGACGAAAAGGCACACTGTGCCAATCTTAAGGTCTTCACTTTTACTGTCAATATGAACACCTCCTACGGATTTATTGTGAATGCGTCATGAGCGGTCTAAGAACAAGCAAAACCTTGTGCAATTCCCCCCAAAATATAAGTACTCAATTCATAGATCCATCCAAAATACAATGTAAACATTTGTATATTTTTCATTTGAAGGATGCTTATTTTAAATAAATCATACGTATTATTGACTAAAAGTTTACAATTTGAAAATTAAACGTGCATTTTCCTTCATCGGTAAGAATCAGCATCGAGCGTAAACAATAAACAAGAGATCAACATCTACATCAACTAAAGTCTTTATAGTGAATACTAGTAATTACAAAAAAAGAGTTTAATATGCATTTATGTTTTGATTATTATAGACAAAGTATATTATAGACAACAATTTAGGTGGAGGTATGATATGGACAATAGATGTTGATGATTTTAATGATAAATGTGGGCTTGGAAAATACCCGATAATAACAACAATGAGGAATGTTTTCAATGGAATCTCGGGTCCTCCTGTCTTTCAACCTACGAACTCAACAATAGCTCCATCAACTAAAGGATCAACAACTCACTCTTCTGTAAAGAAAGGTATCAACGACTAAATCTTAAACGACTAACACTCCAACTAAGATGTCGACGTCATATAAATCAGTAAAGGCACCAATGACTGATTCACCGACAAAGACATCGATAACTGATTCAACTGAATCATTAGTTAGCACAGGTTTTTGTAGGAAATACTGCTTTTTAACTCTTATCGATATAAATAGAAGTACCAAGTACAAAGTTAAAGTTACTCGGCCTTTTGTCTGTAGAAACTATTTCTTTGGAACCGGTTGTCAGCATATTTTCATACTTGTAATAAAGGATTTCATCATGAATATTTGGCTTATTGAGTATTTGAACTTTACTATTTTTGTATTATGTAAAAAACAAATGACGTATTGTGTACGAAAGAAATAACAACAGATTTTATATGATCTAGAATTAAATGGTCTGTTGCTGATACATATGAAATATCACTTTACTTTGTGTTATTTGTATGTCAAAATCAACCTCGTTGATGTTGTGAATCACAACATTTATAAGGACGATATATTTTCCGTCAGCGGAATTTTATAGTAAAAATAGACTGATCCAAAATAAAAAGTACATGTGTTTACCATCGTCCGACCTGTCTTTTTGTAATCCATATCCTGTTCCTTCCTAAAATTTTCTATTAAGCATCAATAAAGCCACAAAGTCTCTCAAATAGACTCCAAGTAAACAAAATGTAAATTAAAAACAAAATCCCTACCTTTTCTTAACTTAGAAACTATGATAAGGTCAATTTTATGGCCCTATTAATTTAAAGATCATAAAGTATCATTAGTCTACCAAATGTCAACGTTCAGATGTTTATAAGACAATATAAGTCTGTCGAACATCAGTTTTTATATTTTTGAAGTGTATTTTACATACTTCTTACATTAAGTGCAAAGCAGCAAATGATAATATTAACATGTGCATTTATCAATAAAATTAGCATAATTTTTTAAAGCGTGGAATAAGTGTAGTATTTTTCTCAATTTCAGGGGCCAAATAACAGATTTTATCATACCTCCGCCGGTCAACACGTGTATATTGCTTATGGAATTAGCATAAATGAAAATCGCATACAAGGCGCAGATCAAAATTTTTAAATTATACTAAAGTTGCTGTTAATTATCTTTGCAAATTATTGGGCCATCATGTATCTATTTGAAAAATCAAATTTTTAATGCTGCCTGTTTCTTACTCTTGTCCTAATTCGCCACTAGATCTATGCAAAAGATATACTATAATGGTATGATTAAGTGTTTCGTTCTTACATTTTGATTATGTTTGTTTCAAGTATTTTCAATCTGCATTTTTTTCTAGGCTTACAAGACTGTTGTGAAAGCAGTAACGGATCAGTAGATGTTATTCTTTGCGTTTTACTGACTATATCGCTGGAAACAATAATAGTTTTACTCCTTTTCATCTCCAAACTAAAAGGTTACGAGGTTGTCCTGTTGCGTTTTTGTATACAGAAGATTAAACCGGAACAATATGACAACTTACAGGGTCCAAGTTTATTGCCGAATATTGGTTATGTTTATGATGAAGTGAGCATACAAGGTGAAACTGATCAATTTGTTTCGAAGGAGCCAAAGTTTTAACCGTCTGTCCGACATTTTTCAAATAAAAAAAAAACCTTTAATATGTTCGCTAACTTCATGGTAATGAATAATCTGTCCGAGTATTCATAAAAATGAAGTTAGCGAACATATTAAAGGTTTTTTTTTATTTGAAAAATGTGTCTGGAGAACTAACATCGGTAGCATTATTATTGATATGGTCATAACTATAAATTAACTTTTTACACAACATTGAAATTTTCGAAATACTAAGGATTATTTACTCAAGGAACAAATTGCCTTAGCTGTATTTGGTAGATCTTTCGCAATTTTGGGTCCTCAGGGCTCTGCAACGTTTTACCTTTTTGGCCATTTTAATTTTTTTTGTTATAGCGTCACTGATCAGTCTTTTGTAGACAAAACGCGCGTATGGCGTATACATTTTTGATCCTGGTATCTATGATGAGTTTATTATCATGCGATTTATTACCATATCTGACATACTTTTAGTTGTTAACATTTAATTCATTGTACCTTAACAGGATTTTTATAGAACTGTATAATGCAAGGTTTACACAAGACATTTTAAGCTGTTCTGTTTAGGATTTTCTCTTGTTTCTCTACTGCAAAACCCTTTATGTGTTCCGCAATTGATTGTTCCAGCAGAAGAATAAATTGTTTGAAGTTTCGATATGAAAAATAGATGTGGTACAGTTGTCAACAAGACAATCCTTCAATAAAGCTCAAAACTAGAAAATCTCTACGCCGGTCAAATCAAAATTTGACAGCCTGTTATTTTGAGAGGTATAATGTATAAAAGAATGCAAAAACTAGTTCGTTCATTACGCATGTAATTTATGGAATCAAATGGCATGTAATGATTTTGAATGCATATTGATTGTCAATAATAAAAAAAATGTTCAAATCCATAATGAATCAACTTATTTCATTGCAGTTTTAAAGAACATTATCATTAGAACTTGTCACTGGAATGTATCAATTTCATCCGTTCTTTGTTCAGCTATGATCTGTTTTTCGGTTTTATTTTAATACACACTCCAAATTCCATCTTATTCCTATGCACGTCCAGTTTGTATCATTTAATATCAACTTTACAACCAGTTAAATGTATGGTTCCTGAAAAAAAAAATACATCATATTCTTTGAGTCATGTGCTTAAATTTTCCTTAGAATTCATCGTGCATTATCTCTTAAGTTTAACAAAAATGATTACTTCAATTTCTCGTGGCTTGATCCATGTGTTACATGCATTTAAAAAAAGGCTTTCTTTGAAGCATAGAAGCGTTTGACACTGTCTGAAATTCAACCGTATAATTTTCAATGAGAAAAGTATCCACCAGAGTCTTAATGACGAAGATGTAGGCAACCAAAGGTCACTGTTGAACCTCTACAAAGATTTTGTAACATGAAACAAATAAATTTGTAGGAATAAAGACTCTCAAAAACAATTTGGTTAAAAGATGTGGTAGTCCGATATTATTTTACGTCCATTTTTGAACTTCCTTGGACGATTGAATGTTGAAAAGCATCCCATATAGAAAACACAGAAATATCGGAAGACTTGCGCGTAAGTTTCGGTCCCAAAATCATAAATTAACAATTTTCAAGTGAAAGGATTATACATCTTTGGATACCCTGTTCATTTCGAACCTTCTTTCATTTACCTATCCCCCATTCCCTCCCTCTTCCATGTAGCACGAAACAGGCTTTATTTCCAAGAACCCACTATTTTTACCAACATACTTTCACTTTAATCAAGATATTGACTACTGTGTCTAAACTACCCCGGCAAAAATGTTTGGACTCAATGGTATCTAATATCCAGTACGGTGACGGACTATCAATTTTTATCATTATTTTCTATGACAAAACCGCGTACTGCTTCGTGAAATTTTAGGACGATTCTGGGTCGTACATATTGACAAAACCGGGTCATTCAATTTTGACATGACCCATTTCTTTCGTTCCATGCACAAAAATACAAATATTGAGGTGCTGAAAGTGACTAGTCTTGCGATCTCCGTGTTATTATCTTTCTTTCTGTACCTTTCTTTCCGTACAATGTGCACAATTTAAAGAGAAATTGATTAAATTCGAGGCAAGGTTAACTCAATTCACCATTTTGATGTGCTTTTTTACTCATTTCTCCATTAATCTAGAACGGTTGTAGAAAATATTACATCTCACAATCGGAAATAGTTATATGTGTATGTATATCCTTCCATATCATAAAAATAACAAATAAATAAACAGAAATCCTACCTTTTCTGTGTCTGTTGATGGTCCGTCACCGTACTGGATAATAGATGCTATTGAGTCCAAACATTTTTTGCCGGGGTAATTTAGACACAGTGTTGACATGTCGTGTTAGTCCTAAAAAAGTCGTTGTTATTAGTTGCATTATAACAGTTTTTTGCGGACATAGCCTTGTCCATCGTATTTACAAAATCAAAATATAATGTAGACAAATTTTACTACAAATAAAATACATAAACAGAGATATTCATTTTATCAACGTATCTAGTGTTAAATGACTCAATCGTTCATAACTTTTTATTTACCTATTTGGATAAAATAGAACCTCATACTTAAGAAAGGAATGGTTCTTTTTTCAATTATATTGGGGAGTAAAAGTGTTGACCGATGTACATGTCTTCATTCGTTCTAAAAATGTGTGCACGATCAACACTTTAACACCCCAATAAAATTGCTAAAAGAAGCATTCATTTCTTATAACTACATTTTTATGCTAAGACCATGAAAAAAAAGTTTTTCTTTTATTTACCTGTGCACTTTTTTGTGGCAGCACGTGTCATCACGAATGTGACATTTCATTTTGATATAAAGGTTAATTTTTGAATGACGCGCGATTGTTGTTAGCCAATCAAACTAACATCTGTAACATCAGACGTCAGTAAAGAAAATAATTTGCTCCTAAAATATGAGATATATAGCTATGATCCCAATATTAATGTACTGTATATGTATTTTTTCGCGTGTATTTATTTTCACTATTTTGTAATAATCGATTATAAATAAAGAAAAACTAACAAACTTGTTTGTATCAAATGAATTCAAGTTACAATTTCTACAGCATAGGTAGCCTTAAGGGACGAATATTAACAATGGATATTTGAAAGTTTGCAGTTATTTTGTTGAGTTCGACTACTTTATTTCTAACTCTTATGAAGTCTTTTATTATCTGCTAAATCTATCATGTCATAATGTTTAATGAAATATGGTTACGCTTATTAGTCGCAAAAGACTGAGATAATCATTGTAAACCGTATGAACTGTTTCGATGATTTAATCCTCTTTCAACGTTTGTTAGCTTTACATTTGATATACCAAGTTTGAATAGTTGTTTATGTGGTTATTTTAAGGGAAATCTATTGCCGGTAGATTTCAATGGCAAGTGTTGTCATAAGCGTTAGTTTGGACTTTTAAATATTTTGGCATCGAGCATCACTGAAGAGAATTTAATGGTCGAAATGCGCATCTGGTGCAGTAAAAGTGGTACCGTTGATGTTATTACTACCACTTGGTCGATACCTCTGCTGGTTGACTATAAGTCAATATTATATTTTGGAATTAAAAATATTTTGGCTTCAAGCATCAATGAAGAGAAATTATGAGTCGAAATGCCCTCATGGTTCATTAAAATTGGTATCGTGAATATTAATGTTATTAGTGACTTATAATGTGGTAATCATAAGCGAGAA